ATTTGTATTGTAGAAACAGGAGATGTAATCGGTTGAGCAGGAAGATTTGCTGTATTATTGTGTTGAAGAATATCCTGGTGAGTTCACATGAACCTGTGAATGAAATATATATATTTTTTGAGATGTAAAACCAGTCAGGATATAATGTTTTGTAATATATGTAATTTTACTAGCTCTTTTGATTTATTGAATGCATTAGCACAGTGAGAAGGAGGCTAACACACCCCCCATGTGCTCTTCTAAAAAAGAAAATGCACTTTCAAGCTAGCTACATCTTGTGTGATGTTGCTGTAAAACCCCCACAAGGGGTTAACGTAAAATTAACCCTTCATAGGTGTCCTGTATGATACAGTTGGTTTATTTTCATGTGCTATGCATTTAAATATTTTGCAGAGATTTACTTTACCTGTTTTTGATTTAAAAGAGCTGTGTTGTATAGACCTCTGTGAACAGTGTTGTGCCTGAACGCGTTCATTGAACGAAAGTTCATGAACTCGTTCATATTCGGGCGAAGGTGAACTGAACGTACTGCATTACTGCCTGATGAACGTTATTGTGAACTCGTTCATTCTGGTGTCTGTGAACGACACGCTCTCTCAGTTCAACTCCGTTCAATAGGTTGCCAGATTTCTATAGAGCCCTCCAGGCGAAACCCCGGCTAAATCACACCGTAAACAGGCCTTAATATGTAGCGGGAAAAACACCCAATCTGGCAACACCAGCTACCAGTGTCGTAGCCTACAGCCGCGTGCGTCATCAAAACAAAATGCAGCGTGGAAGCCACAGCAGCATGGATGCGACAAAGCAGCAGAATGATCACTTAAAACAGGTTTATGACCAGGTGGTCGGTGAGGATGATGGCAACAATCTTACATTTCTCTGCAAACTTTGCCCGCCGGCTTTCAGTTAAAAATCCGCACTTAAACCTGCCTAGTATAATTTTCCACGATTCCATTATTCCTTTTTAGTATGTACTGAAATTAAATTTCAAATGGAAAAAATAATAAAAAAAAACAAAAAAACATTTGCACCTTAAAGACTACTTTCCTGTTTTTCTTTTAATAATTCCTCATAAAAAAGACCATTCAAGCAGCACATTTTTTCGGATGTTTTTGAGAATATACTGTAGGGGTGAAAGCTGCAGCTGCTACTAGTGTGAAGTGAATGGACAGCAACAAAGCGTTAAAGCTGAAGTCTGAAAGTTTTTAAAAATCACTTTTTTGTCATAGCTAACCAGCTAATCACAGCTAACCAGACTCCACTCTGGCAAAGCTGCGGGCCCCGATGGTGTACTCCCCTGGGTGCTCAAAGCTTGTTCCAACCAGCTGTGTGGAATATTTAGCCTAGTCTTCAGCCTGAGCATGCTCCTCCAGAGAGTACCCGTGCTGTGGAAGACGTCCTGCCTCGTTCCGGTGCCAAAGACGTCGCGCCCTAGCGACCCTCAGGACTACAGACCGGTAGCACTGACGTCCCATATCATGAAGACCTTTGAGAGGCTAGTCCTGGAGCAGCTAAGGCCCATGGTCAGGCCCTTCACTGATCCACTACAGTTCGCCTACCAGCCCCGCCTGGGAGTTGAGGACAGCATCATCTTCCTGCTGAACAGAGTCTACAATCACCTGGACAAGCCAGCGAGCACAGTGAGAATCATATTCTTTGACTTCTCCAGCGCCTTCAACACCATCCGCCCGGCTCTACTAGGTGAGAAGATGACTGTGATGCAGGTGGAGGCCCCCATCGTGTCCTGGATTGTTGATTACCTGACGGGCAGACCACAGTATGTACGCCTACAGAACTGTGTGTCTGACAGGGTGGTCAGCAACACTGGGGCGCCTCAGGGGACTGTCCTCTCCCCCTTCCTCTTCACCCTTTTCACCTCTGACTTCAGCTATTGCTCTGAGTCCTGCCACCTTCAGAAGTTCTCTGATGACTCAGCAATTGTTGGCTGCATTGAAAAGGGTGAGGAGAGTGAATACAGGACTTTGGTGGGCAACTTTGTCACTTGGAGTGAGCTGAACCACCTGCAGCTCAACGTGACAAAGACTAAGGAGCTCATAGTGGATCTGAGGAGGAAAAAAACACCTCTGACCCCTGTTTCCATCCAGGGGGTTCCTGTTGACACTGTGGAGGAGTATAAGTACCTGGGAGTGTACTTTAACAATAAGTTGGACTGGACTAGAAACACCGAGGCGGTCTACAAAAAGGGCCAAAGCCGACTATTCTTCCTGAGGAGGCTGAAGTCCTTTAACATCTGTGGGACCATGCTGAGGATGTTTTATGAGTCTGTTGTTGCTAGCACGCTCTTCTTTGCTGTCACATGCTGGGGCAGTGGGCTGAGGGCCGCTAAAAACAACAGACTGAACAAACTGATCAGGAGGGCCGGTGATGTTGTGGGGGAGCAGCTGGACACCCTGACCACCGTGGCAGAGAGGAGGATGCTGTCCAGGTTTCAGTCCATCTTAGACAATGACTCACATCCTCTCCACGACCCACTGGTCCAGCAGATGAGCTCCTTCAGCAGAAGACTCCTCCTACCCAGATGCACCACAGAGCGCCACAGGAAATCATTCCTACCTGTGGTCATCAATTTATATAACGCCTCCCTCAGGTTTTTCAGCATCCCCCCCCCCCCCCCCCCCCCTCTGTAATTGACATTTATGCACTACTTTTGCACGCCACCTATCACCTTACTTGGATTTATTCACTTTAATTGGACTTTTCACTCTATTTGGATTTAGGTTTTTACATATACATAGATATACGTACAGATATATATATAGAAGAGCTATATGTGTATATATATTTTATCTCTTTTTATTCTTATTTTTTATCTTTATTATATTGTATAGTTGGATGTGTGTATATATCATGTAAAACTGTAACTAGAGCGTGTAACAAAAGTAATTTCCCTCTGGGATTATTAAAGTATTTCTGATTCTGATTCTGATTCTGATATTGGCTAAAACTGTCCCTATGCCCAGACAGCAGTACATGTGATATGTAACCTGTGAAAAAAACTGCTTCAATTGGTACCGCATACTGCCTGTATTTCAATCTGGAAAGAATAATTCGGGACGAGTCAAAACAACCAATCACAGCCAGAGGAGCGTCTGATGGAGTGTCAATCACAGCTCCCCCCCCCCCCTTCTGGTCGCATGCGGTAGCCGCGCAGATGCTGTGAGAGGGGTGGAGCTTGGAGGTGGGGCATGAGTGAAGCAGAGAGGGTGGGGGAGTGGCGTGAAACCTGTTTTTCTTCAAATTTTCAGCCGAAGTCTACTCTCTCCTCAATGTTACAGACTGCAGTTTTAAAGCAACAATGGGGAAATGCTGTCCCCTCAATGCTAATGTAAATCGTGGTTGGATAAGGATTCAAAACTGGATATGAAGATGAAATGTGACGCACAGTTTCAGTGTTACAACTGATAAAATAATTGCTGTCTGTGGTTCTACAGTAGGCTATGGTGTAATAGAGCAAAATAGGAAAAAAAAAACTATGAACTAGTTCATTTTTTGGAACTGTGAACTTAGTTCAAAATTTTGAATTATGAACTATGAACTGAACTAGTTCATTCGTGAACTAGTTCACGTGGAATGAGAACTTTCCTAACACTGTCTGTGAATGACTTAACGATGTCATGCATGCCAGAGGGACATTTCATTGGTTGGAAATGCAACGGAGGAACGGGGAAGAAGGGTGTAGTAAAAGACGCAGGAGACGGAAAGGGAGAGAGGCTTGTTTTCTTCCCTGTAAGGGGGAAGTCCGATTCAGCTCTGCTAGGTAAGAAAAAAATAAGGTAGAAAGAGAGACAGTTTGCTCGGAGGGAAAAACTCTGCCGGAAAGCCACTGGAGTTAATACCTAATATGCGGGGCATGTTCAAGGGACATAGTTGCATTGAGTGTTTTAGTTCATAATTTACACGTTTGCCGAGTTGATGAGCCTCAACCCAGCTTGAGGGCAGGCCGAGAAAAGTTAGCCCCTGCCAGATGCAGCTCGGAGCTACTCAGTTAGCGCCCTGGTTTCCGAACAGCCAGCAACGCTGCCCGGATAGTGCCCTGGTGACCAGGGAAGCCAGAGGCTCCTCCGGCGACTAGGCAGGGACCTCATCATCAGCCACCCGGCCGGACATCTTGTGCGGCTCGCACACAGTTTTTTTTGTTTCGCTGGAAGACTGTGACTTTACTGTGAGTAAAGGACATTTGGAAAAAGGATTATTTCTTCAGCTAACACAGCTAACAGGCCTGCAACGATTTATTTTGGGGGGTATTTTATTGTATGTGCCAGCTATTTTGTTCAGTACCTGCTCAGGTGTTTCAAAGTTTTTGTGTTAGTGTGGCCACACGTTTTTTTTCTGTCATTTTAAGAGGTTATTTGCCCTTAGCGGCTGAGGAGTATTTTTTTTTTTTATTGTGGGGTTAATGGGGAATTATCGTTTGTGTTATTCAATGTGTTTAAAATAAATGTTTTATTTGAAACATATATTTGAGTTTTGCCCACTCACTGAATAGTTTCATATTTTGAGGTATAACTACAGAGAGAACCCCACCACACTTAAGTGATCATAGGACATGATTCAGGTTACACTCAGAAAAATCTTTAATCTTTTTTGGTTTGCTGATTTTCCATGTTCAGACCCTGAAGATTTCTGACTATTGAACCCCGCTCTAGATTTTCCAGTAATGTATGACACATTTTTCTACGATCTGTCCTGGTGACATAATTTCAGTGCTTATCAGAGACTACAAAATATCTGAGCGTCTGTGGACGGAGGCGGCTTGTTGATTCATTCTACCTGAAATGTCTGACAGAGGGCAACAGTTATATAAATGCTGGGTTGGGCTTTTGTCCTCAATTATGTATTGTGCTTTCCTGAAGAAATGTGAACTGAAGAGTTCCTCTCTGTGAGCTGAATTTACGGAATACTTTATGTTAAATAAACAAAATGGTTACTCAGTTTTGAATAACATGTAAAAAGGCCTGAAAAACTTCTAAAATCCTTACCTTTGTCTTTTCTCAGGTGAAATTCTTCAGTTTTCTTGGCCTGTCGTTTACTCTTGCTTCCCAGGTTTGATTCGGTTTGGTATCAAAGGTCTTGTAGCTCATTTAATTCAGTGAAGTCACACCCTAGGTAAATAGTGACTCACCAGTGTGACGTAAATGTTTATATCTGCTGTGCAAAATAATATCCTGCAGACAATGAATAAATGATTAACTAGAACTAGAGTTATAGTTAATTATTTAACTTATTTGAAATCGGAGGTGAAATCAATTTAGTGTTCTTAGTTAAATAATTGTAGCTTTAATTTGCTTACTTATAGGGTTTATGCCTTTCACCTCTGGATGGTCCCTGGACCGGCTGTTAAAATCCAGGTATCCACACCAATTTAGTGACCTAGGCTAGGTTATCAACAGAGTTATTAATTATCAATCAAAGAACTGTTTGTCTCTGTTTATTCACACTATTACCAAAAGAGGGTGGATCTGGCCTGAGTGATAAACCATCTGTATATGAATTACAACCACTGCAAGTTAAGCAATGACGTCTTTATTCTAATAATTCTGTCAGGATTCCTGTCTGTGTGTTTGTGTTTCTGTGTTTGTCTCCCTTCCTCAACCAGGAGGCGCCTTGTTCTGGTCCGCCTCCCCACACACCTGCAGAGGGTTACCTTGTTAACAGAGTGCTCTTAAGCTGCTGACTGCCACTACCTCAACGCCAGAGTGTTTGCCAGTTTTGGGTACTCTAGCCAAGCTGAGTTTTGCTGAGTCAAACTGAGTTCTTGTCAACCTGAGTCTTAATCTTGTTTTTTTGCTTTGCATCACGGCAGGAAGTCACCCTGCAAACTGGATGTTTCAGACCTTCTCTCACTGGAAGGATCATCTGAGCTTCAAACTGAGCTGGGGTTCAAAAAGGAGGTTTGAATCCACTTCCCCTGAAGAGATGGTTTGAACTTTACACTGAGCAAGGGATTAATCTCCACTACGACCCGTTCAAGTACCGCAGTAAATCTGAGTGGCAGTCAGCTTCTCCGTTCACCTACAAATAACCGCATTCTGGGTAAACCCTGTCCGCCTTCCACTGAATCAGACAAACACTGGAACTACCGCACACAGACTGGAGTCAAAGAGTCAACAACTTCTCTGGAAACGTGAGTCAGCAATCAAATTTCCCACTGAGCCTGAACTAACCGCAATGTCTTCCCCTCACCTTTCAGTTCCGGTTGAGCAGTGTTCAGAGTAACACTGGATTCTTCACAATCTCCTAAATAAACCTGTTAAACTTTTCACTGGTCTCTCTGTATTGGTTTACTGCTTTTGGGTCTGATCATAGTTAAGATCATGACAAATTCAAGATTTCAGAAATCTGACATCTATGCAAACACTAGACGCTATTAGAAACTAAACACGAGGTAGACTAAATGACTAGTTTAAAAGAAAAGAAAAACCTAAAAGTCTGTTTAACTGGCTTCTGAGATTGTCCCAGAGGGAATATACACTCACCGGCCACTTTATTAGGTACCCCATGCTAGTAACGGGTTGGACCCCCTTTTGCCTTCAGAACTGCCTCAATTCTTCGTGGCATAGATTCAACAAGGTGCTGGAAGCATTGCTGGAAGGTGCTGGAGTTTGGTCCATATTGACATGATGGCATCACACAGTTGCCGCAGATTTGTCGGCTGCACATCCATGATGCGAATCTCCCGTTCCACCACATCCCAAAGATGCTCTATTGGATTGAGATCTGGTGACTGTGGAGGCCATTTGCGTACAGTGAACTGATTGTCATGTTCAAGAAACCAGTCTGAGATGATTCCAGCTTTATGACATGGCGCATTATCCTGCTGAAAGTAGCCATCAGAATTTGGGTACATTATGGTCATAAAGGGATGGACATGGTCAGCAACAATACTCAGGTAGGCTGTGGCGTTGCAACGATGCTCAATTGGTACCAAGGGGCCCAAAGAGTGCCAAGAAAATATTCCCCACACCATGACACCACCACCACCAGCCTGAACCGTTGATACAAGGCAGGATGGATCCATGCTTTCATGTTGTAGACGCCAAATTCTGACCCTACCATCCAAATGTCGCAGCAGAAATCGAGACTCATCAGACCAGGCAACGTTTTTCCAATCTTCTATTGTCCAATTTCGATGAGCTTGTGCAAACTGTAGCCTCAGTTTCCTGTTCTTAGCTGAAAGGAGTGGCACCCGGTGTGGTCTTCTGCTGCTGTAGCCCATCTGCCTCAAAGTTCGACGTACTGTGCGTTCAGAGATGCTCACCTGCCCACCTTGGTTGTAACGGGTGGTTATTTGAGTCACTGTTGCCCTTCTATCAGCTCGAACCAGTCTGGCCATTCTCCTCTGACCTCTGGCATCAACAAGGCATTTCCGCCCACAGAACTGTCGCTCACTGGATGTTTTTTTCTTTTTCGGACCATTCTCTGTAAACCCTAGAGATGGTTGTGCGTGAAAATCCCAGTAGATCAGCAGTTTCTGAAATACTCAGACCAGCCCTTCTGGCACCAACAATCATGCCACGTTCAAAGTCACTCAAATCACCTTTCTTCCCCATACTGATGCTCGGTTTGAACTGCAGGAGATTGTCTTGACCATGTCTACATGCCTAAATGCACTGAGTTGCCGCCATGTGATTGGCTGCTTAGAAATTAAGTGTTAACGAGCAGTTGGACAGGTGTACCTAATTAAGTGGCCGGTGAGTGTATATAGGCTAACTTTGTGGTAATAAAGTGGCTCTGCCTTCTTTATTAGGTGTTTCATAGGTTCATGGTGTAAACACAAGGTTCAGAGGAATTTATGCTGTTTTTAATTGAGATAGAGGGCTTGACATTGTTCTTGGTCTGGAAACAGGAAGATATGACGACCCTGGAGGTTAAAAAACAGTTGGAGTTGCTACACTGAATACTGTAGATAATTCCTTTAAACTCAGATTCGGTATTCATTTGAAAATCATGATCATTTAAAGTATTAATTATATCTATATACTAAAAACCGTTCTATTTGTATCATGTTTTTTTTTCTAATGTCGCTGCTGTGGTCGTATAAGCTTCACCCTCAGAGTCTGACTATGTAGGCTAGAGATCCACTCTGGATGATTTTTGAGATGGGAGCAGTGATGCCTCCATGTTCCTCAGCATCACTACCCTCTCATGAGCTTGAAAAGGTTGGTGGTTCAACCACACAAACCAATTTCAGACAAGATGTTTTGCAACAATCATCAGTCTTTCCATCCATCTCCATTATAGCATGCTGAGCTAGCTACAACAGTGTTGTCCCTCTGAAGTCACAACATAGACATGGGTTTTCACTGGATGTTAATCAGAGTGCTTCTGTGGAGCTACTAAATGTAGGATATTAGTGTTAAAAATAAGCATGTTTGATTTCGAATAACTCAGAACCACCTGCTGAGTCCTGCTGCATGATTTCAATGCAAAATTACACGAAATCGAAATTGTGTCATTGCCACTTTATATTAGCCCCCAGTTATGGATTGATTCTATGGTCAAAAATAAAGGGAAGCAATTCATGGGATAATTTAAAGTTAGGTTTATGGATCAACAAGTGTACAAAACAATTGTACTAATAATATAGACATAAGTTATTGTTTACTAAATTTTGACGGGTCAAGGATAATATTTACTTCTGGTTAAGATGCCAAAGGTGATGTAAGGATTTTGTAATACAGTAATTCAACCTGGAGAGACTCACACACAACAGAAAAGTTACAATTAGAGAGATTTATTGATAATCTGACATTTCTTTGGTGCTTGGACCCTGGCAGAAGGCATTGAAGGGGAGAATGGCGATGAGTTTGAATGATCGTTGTGAGAATATTAGACAAGTCTGTCCCCAGGATCTGGACAGTGGTGGAGTTTATTTGCTTTAATGGGTTAAAACAAATAAAATGCAATCCGGTCACAACAAAGGTGTAGCCAAAACATTTTTATAAGGGTGCGCCAGGCAATAACCAATGTACACGGAGGGGTGGCCGAAAGCGGATAGGCACCAGAACCTTAGGGTCAATCTACACTGTGGCAACAGGGAAATTAATGAGCAAAAAATCCATATTTTCTAAATAAAGACAAACTATACTTTCCTACAGCCTTTGCTAACAAATAGATGGATATATTTAAACATCCATGATTTCTAGATAAAAGGTATAATGGATAAAACTCTTTCAGTTTTGAGTTCTGGGGCGTAAATAATTTCCATTGTCATGTCAATAAACATTCTGCATGAAATTGATATTTACAAGCACTAATATCTACATATACATACATTGATTATTTGATACGTTTTTATTAAAACAATTATTTATCTATGAGTTCACTGAAGACTCCTAGATGACTTGCAGTGACACATAATTTTGTCTTTACCCCATATAACACAAAATGTAGTTCTGAAAAGAGTATGAATTATGTACTTCTCATATTTGATGTTAGTATATTGAAAGTGTAAATAACAAAAATTAAAATGTTTTGAATATTCCACTTGAGTGTATTACTGCTGCCACCACTATTGGAGGGGGAAAATGGTAGGGGTGGCCACAGGGGTGGTCAATGATTGGCTAAGGGTGGCCATGGCTAGCTCATCTAGCTCCACCCCTGGGTCACGAGCAGGTACATGAAAACATCTATACCAAATCATTTCTCTTCATTTTCTTTAAAATGTCCTCGGCAACGTCCAAAGCATCTTTGGTGTAGGTCTGTAACATCAGATCCACCAGGTCTGTTGGATCTGCATCTTCCACTGCACTCGCCTGGATGCCTGGGTGGCCTAGACTGTTGTGTCCTCTTTTCAGGTGAAATTTGAAAGTTTTAAGTTCCTTACGATTCAGGTCATCTAACAGATTCAAAAGGGTCTCTTCTGGCGTGATTGTTATTCCCTACAGGTTTACAAGAAAAAACAGAGAACATCTAATTGTTTCAAATTCTGACTTGTTTCTAAACAGTTGTAACAAATATTGGTCTAAAATCATTTATAGTGTTGAGAGTAACAGCACTGTAATAACATTATTAGTAACAGTATTACGTTTTGACAAAAAAGTAATTCAACAAATTAATCTTCACATATT